TGGTCATCTTCTTCTCACTGCAGGCATGCCTAAGTGTATAGGCCCCAAAATTTGCTGGGGAGAAGGGGAGCAGGGAATTACTTTTGGCAGGAGTCTGCTTTAGAGGTTACTGGGTGCTAACTGAGCTTGAATAAAATGATTTTTTTGGTTCCCATTCCGATTTCTTTTTTGTGCATAGTTCCCTTGGGAATCCTAAGGAAAGGAAAGATGATTAGAAGAACAGGATTTGGCTTTTTCCGGTCTTTGATTGCAGCTAATTGTATTGTTGGTTGCAATTTCTTGCAAATTTTTGCTGCCCTTTTCAGGGAAAGATAATATTTCCTTACCCCATGGGTATCAGGTTTGTCCAGGTATACCTATTCTGGTGAAGAAAATGTAAGCATATTTAACATGTATAAGTTCCAGGCCAAATTATTAAGAGTCAGTATGTAGCTCACCATGATTTGTTTTCCTTCTTCCATGAGATACTAACATTGTTCCAGTTATAGATTGCTCTATCAGCCTGGGTCCCAGCATGAAGACAACCAGAGGATAGTTAATCTGTCTTGCAGTGGACATATATGATATTTTGAGAAATAAAATTTTGTTATTATAAGCCACCGTGGGATCACTTGTTACCATAGCTAAACCTAGCTTATCCCGATACACTTACCATATTGCTATCTGCATCAAACACCATTGTTTGTCTTCCCAACAATGTCTGTTCTCCCAAGATAACTCCAGTTTTGCCCAGGTATCATCCACCTCTTCATGGCTTGGGGAGGGAAATATAATTCCTAGCCACAGGGGGCCAATCCTAATTAACTTAATTCATTTATGATAGTTTTTTACTCTTAGCTAGCGTGAAGCTGAAGTTCTTTAAAGAAGCCATGTCGATTAGACCCTTTGACCTAGTAGAGCAGAACATTGTGACTGCAAAGAAATGGAATGATGTAGGGTAAGAGCCAATGTGCTATCTTTGGACCTTTAGAAAAATAGTCATTTGCTGTTTTTTTAAAATATTTTTTAGTTGTTGATAGACATTTATTTATTTATTTATTTATATGTGGTGCTGAGAATTGAACCCAGTGTCTTACACATGCTAGGCAAGTGCTCTCCACTGAGCTACAACTCCAGCCCACTATTTGCTTTTAACCTTTGTGTCTGACCTAAAATCCCATGACTATTAGGTAAACCTGTAGGAATGTATTGTTAAGATTAGCAAGCCTCTAACCTCCATCAATCTTAAAGCTAAGAATTCTATAACAGCTGAAACCTATACAAAAAGATTTCCCTACTTTTCTGTAGTCCACCTACCTAATACCTCCACCAATGTATTTATTAAATGTATTGTTTTATTACCTTCTTTGTTCTGTAACTATAAAAATTCATGTAACCTATGACAGAACACATCATTCAGGGCACCTTTAAAAATATGGGTCTTCAATAATACTATTGAACTGTTAAATGAACTAACCTTAGAACTGACCTATCCCAAGTTTTCTTCTACTTGAGAGAATATATTTTCCTTATTGCTTAAGACAGTTTAATCTGGAATAAAGGGGAAAATAACAAATTTAACTTTACGGACATTGAGGTGAGACAGAATGCTATTGGTATCCTTTTATTTTGCTGAAGCTCAGCAAAATAAATTTAAATTTGAATTTGAAAGTAATCAATGGAGCAATATTACATAAAATAACATGTGTTGGTCTGTTTTGCATTATCATAGCAAAATACCGGAGGCAATCAACTTATAAGGAGAAAAGGTTTGTTTGGGCTCATGATTTTAGAGGTTTCAGTCCCTGGTTGGTAAGTTCATGTTTGGGGGCCTATGGTGATATAGTACATCAGTGTGGAAGCATGAGGCAGAGGAAGCTGCTCAACTCATAGCAACCAGGAAGCAAAGAAAAAGAGGAAATGGCTGGAGTCTCAATAACCCACCTAACTTCCTTCCACGAGGTCTCACCTATTAGAGGTTCCACCATCTCCTGATAGTATGACTGGCCATGACCAAGCCCTTAACACATGGGCTTTGGGGGGACACTTATCCAAACCATAGCATGATCTATCTTAAAAAATAATCCTATGCCTGGAAAAGCTACCTCTGTGCTTGAGGAATTTTGGTGATATAACAAAACATGACACCCATACAAAAATAGTCATTTCCTCACTGGGTATGCTACCAGTCTACATCCTTACATATGACCAGTCCTAGAAAGGGGAATCACAGAGGTGGTAGCAACTGCCTGGTGAGGAACAAAGGTAAGTGAGGTAGTGTTTGCAATACCTTAGATACTGCTCTCCTCTAGCCTGGTTTTTGTGGACCTTGGTAGCTATTGCACATGACTTAAACATTCTTCTCTAGTGTAAATAGATTTGAAAATAGGTAATAAGCAACCCTCCAATTTACTGACTCTTATACATCTTTTAGTAGTAAACTATTGTTCCAGCAAACTATGGTTTTGATCATCAAATAGTCATCACTGTATAAAAGGCGTGTAGGAACTCTGAAGAAGACACATCTACAAACTCACTTCAAATACTGTTGTTTGCAGGCAGGAATTGCAACTAGTTAGGACCAGGGTGATGTTTAAAGATGACTCAGTTGAATTGTCTAGAAAAGAGACAGGGAATGAGAGAAGGAATAGAGAAAATAGAGATGGAATGTTGAAGGTGAAGAGCCAAAATTATCTTGGGCTATCTTCATCTCTTTTATAGCCATTTTCTTTCAACCTATATATCTGACCTAACATCCTTGTGATTATTAGGATATTCTTGGAATGAATGTATCACTAAGCTTAGCAGACCTCTAGCCTCTAGGAAACCTATAAGAGAGCATCTGAAACCTATAGAAAATATTCCCATACTGATGTAAATCACCTACCTAGTGCCCCCACCAATGTATTTATTCAAAGTATTATGACTTTCTTTGTTCTGTTACTATGAAAGTTCATTCAACACATCCTCAGTGGAATAGGCCATTCAGGAACTTGAAACCATGTTCTGGGCCATAGCCATTCATATTTAGCTCAAAACAAATAATTATTTCCTTTAGAGCAAAACTGTCATTTTACATCAACAGGTATGATCTAATGCTAGTAGATTGAGTTGGGGAAACTCGGCAAGACCTAGCCATATTCTTCTTGATCCTCTGTGTAGCCTTCCTTCCTTCTGGGTATGTGGTAGGATCCTTTCTGGAATGAGGCTCATATGACCTACTATTAGACAAGGTAGATCAGAAAATTTCTTTATGACCCTTTCCTCCATGGAGGAAGAAGATCAGAATAATATTTCTAGGTTTTATAGCTGGCTTTGGGGAAGGAGAGTTCTAGTTTCTGTGACCCAACTTTGAATTCTGGTTTCTATGGCCTGACTAGGGGGAGAAAGAACAGGAGAAAGGAAGGAAACAGTCTGAAAAAGACTTGCTTCTGAGGGCTGCTTTCCTTCAGTTCAGTACTTAAATGACAAAGCACAATACTTTGGGGTATTATTTTCTGAGGCCCAACAAAATCCTGTGGGTGATCTGTAGAAGTCCTGCAGGAAGTGCCCCCCCCCCCCCCCCCACGCGCCCCACCAGGGAATAGGAAATATACACTATGGAACATCAAGCAAGTGGCCAATGCAGACGATAGAGCCACTACTGTCCAAGTGGATCTGTGATTGGAAGGCAGTTTTGAAAGTTATTAATCCATATTGGCATTCCATTACTGTTACTCACTTTCAGAAAATATATTCAGGGACTGGAGTGGAGGTGGTGTATTTGGCAACACAAAAGGATTTACTTCTTAGTTTGGTTAAAAAGGAATTAATTTTTAAAACTCCATCATACCGAACTTTTGCAAAGGCACATTTTCATGGGCAAATGCATAAACCTGCATAACATTTACAGTGAAGCCTATGCCTTCCCTGAGACATCCCATTTCTAGTTGTCCTTGTCACTGCTAGTCCTACCTTGAAACTATGAAACTATAATTGTACTCTTACTTCTCTAAGCTCCCCCCCCCAAAAAAAAAACAAAGAAAAAAGAAAAGACATTTTAATGAGCTGAAGAGAAAATGAAAATTTCAAAGAGGGCTAACTTCAGTCCTACAGTTATTTAGAAAGGAAAAGCTCACTTCAAACACTGTTGTTTGCAGGCAGGATTTGCAACTGGCTAGGACCAGGGCGATGTTTAAAGATGACTCAGTTGAATTGTCCAGAAAAGAGACAGGGAATGAGAGGGAATAGAGACAAGCAAGTGGTCCTTCTAAATAAAAGGTGTCTTAGATCTATTTTTCTGACATTGAGGTTGTGAAGGCCCAGAGCTGGTGCAAACTAGGAGTGTTCTGTGTAGGAAATCTGAGATCCTGACAAATGCATCTCAAATTATCTGAACCGGAGGTTGCTAAAACTCAACTCCCACCCACACCCACCACTGGCTTCCAAAGGCCAGAATTTGGAAAGAGAAATCTCTCTTCTAAGGGTAGGGTCCAACTGGGGGGCCTAGCTGTGTGACCTTCGCCAGGCCCCGGAATCTCCTTTGGGAAATCCCCGAGGCCCTGCCCGGGGCTCTGCAGATAGTCGTCGGTATCCCGGCCCAAGCGCTCGGGATCGCCTTTGGGGAGGATCTGCTACCCACTGCGCACCGCAAGCTCATCCTCTCAGACAGCCTCTTCGCTTCATTGGGCCGCCGCCCGGGCCCCTCCCGCTCTGTCCGCCCAACCCGTGCCAGCAGCGCCACGCCCACCGGGGGGGGGTCCCCGCACCGGCCAGGGATGCCCTCCTTCCACCTGGCCGTCCCCGCCGGCGACTCCGGGGCTCACGGCCGCCGCAAGCCCCGCCTGACTCGGCTTTCCGGGCGCCGCAGGCCCCTGGCCCACCGCCCCTCCCGGGCGCCGCCCGCCGGGGCAGCCTCTGCAGCTGGCCGCGCGGCCGGCCCGCGCCCACCGCCGCGCGCTGATTGGCTGGCTGGCCGGCGGCGGCGCTGAGTGGCCGGGCAGATTCGCTGGGTCAGGGCTGCAGAGGCGCCTGGCGCACTGGCGGGAGTGGAGCCGCGGTGCGCTGGCCCCGGACGCCCGCCGCCAATCCTGCCAAGAGAGCGGGTCAGGGCGCTAGGGGGTCCGCGCCGCGCCGGGCGCCGCCGCCCTGGCCACCATGTGCTCCCAGCTCTGGTTCCTGACTGACCGGCGCATCCGCGAGGAATACCCGCAGGTGCAGATCCTGCGCGCCCTCCGGCAGCGCTGCTCCGAGCAGGACGTGCGCTTCCGGGCGGTGTTCATGGACCAGATCGCCGTCACCGTCATCGGCGGCCACCTCGGTGAGCGAGGCGGGACCTGGGAGAGCTGGGAGGCGCGCCGGGGTCTCTGAGGGCCGTCCGGGTGGGCGCGCTTTCCTGGGCCTCCCGCAGCCAAGTCTCCTTCCGGCCCTGCAAACCAGCCGCTCTCTCGGGCGAGACCCCTTGTGTTAGAGAAAGCCCCTCACCTTCATAACCTCTTTTAACCACTACCATCTGCCCTGAGGCCAAGATTTGAGAAGGTGATTTAATTTACTTAGGGGACTTTGTTTTGTGAGGAACCCAAATTCACCTGCAGCGACCCTGGTGTCCGAGAAAAATCAAGCTGCAAACCCCAAATTTGCAAATTACTCTTTCATCCATACTCTGTCAGTTTAGACTGAGATTTTAGAAGCTAAACTAAATTTGCAAAATTCCTGTTATGATGGATGTTTCGAAACTTTTCCAGCGGTGTGTATACATCATTAATGCCCTACATAGAGAATTATACCCAAACCGGGAACCTATATATGGGGAAAACCCAAGGAAGATTGGAGTCACCTCTGAAGTGTAAAGTGGGAGAGGAGACTTTTGATGCGTTTTTTTTTTTTTTTTTAACTCAACCTCCTCCCTAAAAGTGTTGAATTCTTATTCCAGAAAAGCCGTGATTTCAGGTACACATGATTCAATCACTCCACTGCTGTGTCCCAGAGACTTTTTTGGGGGGTAAGATGTGGTTGTCATCTCTGACCCTGACCTCAAAAGGTTAAGTATGTTTTCAGATATTCTTAATTAACTACAAGGCCTTTCTGCTTTAGGAATTTGTGGCTTAGGAACCTCATACCCACTGACTTGCTGATTGTCTCCTTTGCTCCACCAGAGGTGTCCAGCTATTTAAGAGGGTCCAGGACTCAAAGGGGCTTGATTCTAGTTCAGGGTGCTTCTTGGGATACTGTTCATATTATTCTATGGGGTTAAACAGGCACATAACTTGTTTCTTTTCTTTGGCAAGGAAAGGGATTCCAAATTCTGAACAGGATACTTACAAGTGAGATTTTGAGTATGACCAGTCTCTAAGTGGAATATATCAGTTGTAGGTCTTCATCCATAGTTTACCTAACCCTCCATATGTAATATTAGATTGTATGTCCTGTTGAAGAAATACACTACAAACATTAGGTGCCTTATGTTTAAAGAGATGTCTTTCCAATGTAATGTAAAGGGTTTCCTCTCTCTAGCTTCGATTTGCTAAAACTCACAATTAGTTAATGTAGAAATAAACTCCTGAATAGGGAGTCTGCAGACCTGGATTCTCAATACAGCTCTGTATCTTGTCTTTGTTTTGGGTAAGTCACTTTGTCTTTAAATCTCAAGCTTCTCATTTATGAAACTTAGGGTTGAGGTTTCCACAGCTTGAAAATTCCATGTTTTAATACCATATTTAAATAGGATAATCTGTTGTATTTTGCTGATCTAAGTTAGATAGTGAAAACACACACACACCTAATATTCCCCATGCCCCTGTGAGTTTGCTTCTTGCTTATTTCTTTATTTATTTTATAGTTTATGAAGATGTCTTTTTTGAGCTACAGAAACCAGAATTTCACATCATGTTCATTTTGTAGACCCATCATGAATTCTGTGAACAAGTAGGAAAATGCTCTCTGTATTGAAAAAACCCCATTTTTAAGAATCAGTCCTAACACAAGAGAAAATTAAACGCTCATCCTATAGAAAACATTTACACCCTTTGTCTAGTGTCTTAAAATTTAATGGAATTCATGTGTGGATGTATTCCAGTCAGTTCACAAACCAGGAGTTACTTATTTTTAACTACTAGAAACCCTACATGGCTATTTGCCTGGTGATGGAGAAATTGAAGGTAAGTAATTTTTGATGCAGTTTTCATTTCTTGATAATTCAGAAATGGCTACATACAAATCACAGCACATAAAACAAGCCTATTAGATCACCATTTCTGCTGTTCTTAGCTGTAAAAAGATTTATTGGCTGTGGGAATAGGTTAATTCAAGCACAAGAAAGTGAGTTCTATGAGAAGAGCCATCTTGTTTGCTTTGTTCAGGGCTATGATAGTGACTTGAATGATGCTTTGTATGTAGTAGGCACTCAATTTTTGGATGAATAAAGATGTGAGTTCTATTTCCCAGCTTCTTCTATAGTCAAACTGTAGAAAACCCTCAGCAATTTGCTGAGCCAGTTATTCCCCTGAAAAATACTTCAGAATTCACTTACTTGAAATATAAAGATATACAGTTATAATGATAGTGATGCTATTTCCCTTTTGAGAATTATAGAATATGAGAGCTGAGAAGGACTTGAAGATCATCCATTTTAACTCCTTCATTTTACAAAGAACTTAGGGCTCAAATAGATATAGTGACTTCCTCAATACTATCTAGCTAGCTAGCACATCCACAGTTAAAACAACTTAATATCTGGGTCTTGGAGTATAGCCCTGGGTTCAATTTCCAACACTGTAAAACAATCTCTGGAATCCCCCCAAAAAACTTGATATCCTAAATCCCAGCCCATTTATACAGATAATTATGCTTTAGATACCCACAACTTATGGTATCTTTCTCAGTAGATGTGGAATTGAGCTGAATTAAATTCAAATTTTTCTCACTAGACACTGACTTTGCAAGAAATTTTGTAATTTAGGAAATTAAGGTACCACCTTTCAAAGTCTTTGTGCCATTACTTCTTCCTTTTCTTCTTTAGATTAGGGTAGGTAGATAATAAAGAAGTTGGTTTGGGGAACATATGGGTGGTCAGTGCCTCAATGAATTGCTTAAATTCATTTGTGAGCTTTCCTCTCTAGAGGCTAATGGGAGACCAAATCCAAGAACTTGAATTTCAGGTTGTATCTGGAAGTAGGATTCAGATAAGAGATTCAAAGTTTTGAATTTAAAGGTTGCAATTATTTTAAATAATATTATACATATAAACAGAAAATGCTATACAAATGCAAGGTTTCATGCTTATTTTTCTTAATGTAGTAATCTACCCTTCCCAAAAAAGATGGTTGGGGAGGTGACTGGGGCACGGGGAATGATCTTTAGGTGACTCAAGCAATCCTATAGAAAACATCCTCCTTTCACTTCTGTTGGGTGTAGCATTATGAAAATCACAGCTATCTCCCATTTCTTTTTTAGAAGCCACAGTTCTTCATTTATTCATTCACCAAATATTTATTAATTATTCTCAACCCTAAGCATAAGGTGATGAACGTGACAAAGTGCACATCATATTATTATTATTACTATTATTAATAGCCATGGCTATCTATCTATCTATTTATAGTGCTTTGTGTAAGGCATAGGTCTAGGTTTTTTTAATTTACATATTAATTCTTATAGATGCCAATGTGGGTCACTGACACATAATAGTGGCTGGGAATTAGAACCAATACTTAGTAATTCTAGTCTAAACATTGTGTGTGTGTCATCCCTTCTGCTCTACTTGGGCTTACAGTGACTTCAACATATCACTCTGTCATTCCTGGCCTTACACTAAAAATCCTCTGAGTTGTTCATCTTGCCCCCTCCACATGATGAATTATTATTCATCCCTTAAATCTGGCACAAGTCACTCATCTCTGTATACAAGTCTTTCTTGAACTCCCTACCATGTCTGCAAGTAGTCACTCTCTTCCATGTGCTGCCAAATAACATTTCCATACCTTTAAAAGTTACACTCACCTTTTCAATGTAATGCTTCTATTTACAAGGTTTCTATCCCTTCTCCCCCTGAATAACTGGGATTTCCTCAACTGTATACTCTCTAACTGGTACATAGTAGGCCTGCTGTTCCTGCTTGTAGGATGACTGAGTAAAGTGCCTTAAAGGCTAATTTGAAGTACATGAGACTTTTGTTATAATTAGCTTCTGTGTTTGGGAGATCATGATTGAATGTGTAAATGTTTCTGTGATGAGCCATCATAAAGGACAGATTCACTAGTGACGTTAAGTTTTTTTGACCATCTACCCATTTGAATCATTAACTGGCTCAAGAAACTAGCCACTAACTCAGGGACAGAAACCAAAACACATAAAATCAATCCGACCTGGGAAATGAGGTTGTGTTACAGTTTGTCTCTTAGCAGAATGATTCAGCATTCCTTCTGTTACTTTCAGAGCTAAAACCTTGGTGGCCACATCCCTTTTGGGGGGTATGTGGGGGATTCTGACCTGGGGCTTTTCATACATTAGGATAGTGCTCCACCATTGAGCTATATTTCCAACCCCATATGATAATTTATAAATCAGGTTCCTTAAATTAAGGTGTTCTTGAATCCTTAGAGTAATCAGCTAACATTTAAAAGAGTTGAGGGAGGGGAATATTAAGTAAATTTGAAAGAGGCAGTGGTGTACCCCAGCCTGCCAAAGGACAACCAAAGTCCCCACAGAAAGCATGGATCCCCATCACCCCATCACGGTGCAAAAAGACACTAGCAGGAAAGGGCGCTAAGCTGACTTTTGTGCAGAGAGCTTGATCTTCTGCTAAAGGCCTTCTGCTAAAGGCCTGTGACTGATACCTTGTAATCTCAGGGACACACTGTGCAGCACTATTGGAAAGAAAAGTCAAAGAATGGGTAGAAGCATTTATTGTATAATGCTTCCAAATTGATGTGTCACATGGATATGCTTTGCCCCATGGGTCCTCATATCTGTAGGCTGACCCCAAGGACTAAGAATGAGTGGAAAGTTTAGTTTATGTTTTTAACAGTCATTTTTAGAGCCACCTCATGAACTGTTGGGAAAAGTTCTAGAACTAGTGAATTGGGATCCTTCATAGATACCAAAGCCTTACTCATAAATTTCCCAACCATCTGTTGCTGCTACCATAACACTTTGACCAAATTTGTTAGGTTTGCCTGGTGGAGGGAGTCCAGCTGTCACTGAGAGATGTCTGAGTCATCCTCAACCGTCCACAGTTCCTCTCACTCCCCTTACTTGCAGGGAGTCCAAGGACACATAGTGCTAGCCCCTCTTACTCCAGCCACTTCCCTGGTCACCTTGCCC